CTTTGGAGCAATTATATCTATGTAGGCCTTAAATTATAGGACCAAAGCACAGGTGACCACTTACTGCTACTAAAACACTGTCAAGTGGTCACTGTCACAAGAACATTTTAAAGGCAAGTCCTTATGTGTTAGTGATATTGAAATTTTTTTCTTGCCATTTTTAAGTAAGATATTGTAAATTAATGGGTAAAAGGGAGGGCTCTGGAAACTGACCTAGGTTTTAATCCCAAATTTAATCCCTAGGTTTTAATCTGAAAAGTCCTTTAAACTCTCGGTGCTTTAATTTCCTCATCTGTAAAATCATAATAATGACAACTGTATTTAACTGTAGTTACTGTGAGGATAAAATGAGCTAACAGATGTAATACGTTTATTAGCAAAGTGCCTAGAATATTGTGAGCACTTAGCACCTGGTAGATATGGTAGTAGAGTTGTTGGTGATTGTTATTTGTACTAGGGATCAAAAATTAAAAAATTAAAACATGAAAAGTTATGTATTTAAGAGATCAGGAAGCTTTGTTTTTGACAGGTAGCCAAGAACATTTTGGAGGTTCTCAGGTATTAAAAGAAAAAAATCTTTTAATTAAATTTACCCTTCAAAAATCTGGCCAAATAAAATGGAATTATCTTAATTAAGTTCCTCCTTTCACCTTCCTGTTTCTTTTTCTCCAGAAAATTACATTGGTCAATCCAGGCTTATTCCCAAATCCCTCACTGTTCTACCTTTCTTCCCCCAACCTGTTTGGTACCAGTAGGAAGGCAAAGAATTTCTGCCATCCATTCTGCCTTTAACCCAGGGTCATGATGGTGACAGTGGCCAAGAATTCTTCTTGTTCCCTCCAGAGCCCATGTCTCCTTTCACAGAATGGCTCCGAGTTGAGGGCCTCCTACAGCTCACCACATCTCTGAAGACCCCTTTACACCCACCTTAGGTCACCATTTCTGAAACTGGAGATGTTTTATAATCCTGTTATCTGTTACTGGTTCAGAGGGCAAGGGAGAATGGAGGGAGTTAATAATTTGGGGGGCAAGTTCTTTTTTTCCCCCCCTTTTCTTATACCTTTCAAACTGATAGAAGAATGTGCCATCAAAGTGACGATTAGAGAAGCTCTTTTTATAGGCATAATCGGCTTTTATTTAAAGAATGCATTTAAATCAGCAAATACTATTACATCTGACAATTCTCTCCCTTGGTGGAAGTGGCTAATGATATATGAAAGCAGATACTCAGTCACTTCGTTGTTTTTTTGCCATGAAATTCAGCCTGTCATTCAAGTAATTTTAATTAGGGCTTTTCATCAGTATCTAGGTTACTTGCCCTTATTCAGCAAATGCTTGCAGATGCAAAGTAGAAAGTGCATATTATTAATTTGAAATCTAATTTTTATAATGAGACCATATGCATCAATTTTAATTTTACATATCACATAAATACTGAAAATGCAGTAAAAGAAAAATCAGCACTTGCGTGACACCCTAGTTTACAAAGCACCTTACATATATTATCTTATAACCTACATCTCTGTAAGGTAATCAGGACAAATACTTAGTTTCTTCATTTAACAGAGAAGAGCCAAGACTCAGAAACATTTGGTTATTATTCAAGTTTATGGCTCCACTACTCACTGGGTGATCTCGAACAAGTCACTTAATTACTCTATGCAATTTCCTTAACTGTAAAACAGAATTTAAAATACTGCCTACCACACAGAGTATGTGTGAAGATGAAGTGAGCTAATATACACAAGGCACTTAGAACAGTGCCTGGTGCATAGTAAATGCTCAATAAACGTTACCTATTAGCTGTTATTACCATACTGCTAGTATTAGGATTTGTACCCAAATCCAGACCTTCTGACTCCTAGTCCAGAACTCTTTTCATAGTTCCGTGTGGAATTTACCCTTTAGTAAATCATTGATTTAATTTTCACCTCACATTGACCTTGTTATTCTTGAAGGGATCTTTTTCTACTTTATTTACTTTGACCTTAAATTTCTCAAGATCAAAAGGAAAATGTGTTTGAAGGATTCTTCCTTAACTGATTTTTTTAAATCCTCTGATTTCTGTTGTCATCTGGGTTTGCTTGACCTCAGGTATTACAAGGCATTTTAGTAGGTGAAGATATAAAGTTTTCATGGGTAATTTGGGAAGTTTTTGATGAATTTTGTTTTGGTTGGAAGGCCTAAGGTGGAAAGTAGAGTTTAAGGAAATTGCTGGGCTACAGCCCAGAAAGGAATTCGGCTACACACCTTATCTATAGTGCTAAGAGAATATTGTCATTTCAGAGAGTGGCAGCTTGCTGACCTCAGAGTAAAGATGAATGTTGTGACATAGGATTCTTTGTTGTAGAAGAGCCATCCTGAAGAAATTGGTAAACGATTATGGACCATTCCCTGGGAAAGGAAAAGTTGTTGTAGATATTTCTCTTGATAATAATACTTGTAGCAGGCTTTTACTTGTGACTCCCAGTTGTTTTTACTCTGTCTACTGCCAGTGTAGACATTCATGGCTATGAGATAGGCCTAAGTGAACATTGGCATGCTTTTGTGGTAGCTACTCACCTGCTATGGGGAGACAACCTCCCTTTCCTCTGATGCTGGATTTGATGTGGAAGATTGCAGAGGGTGGACAGTGATGTGGAGGAAAAGTGCAGTCAGCCTGGGGGCCTTCCAAAGGCAAGGAGCTGGAAAAAGCCCCAGCTCACTGAGCATGCCCATTGCCAGGCTTTTTCGATGTGCCTGTACATAGTTTGTACACAGATGAGACCTTCTCCAAGGACAAGATATCCAATATGCTTCTTATGACCTTTGTGGAAGATCTATACCAGTGTTTAACCTGGTAAGGCAGGAGATCTGAGAGAACCTGCTGAGACCTCCTCTTTGTTATTTGATACTTGCATTTTTTTTAAACCCACTTATCTCTAATATTCTCTTTGGCAAGTAGAATTAATGTTCTTACATAAATGAAAACATGGTTTAATAGATTCCCTGGGACTTGTGATAGTTTGATACTATTTGCAAAAGAAAGAGGATAGGAAGAAATGATGTATTATCTTTTCTAGTTTTGCAGTTAGGTTTTATTTTTTTCTGCTTAGCCACCTGCTGAATACTCTGACCCATGTAGCCTGGGAACAAAGGCCAGAAAACAGCTTTGGGTCCTAACATCTAGGCATCCTCTCTCTTGTAGCTACATGCCCATCCATTCAGCTTAGTGCCCTCTCCTGTGTGTGGGCTTCTGCCTGTCGCATTGGCCACTCTCTGGTGTGTGGGGAAGTGGCTCGTCTTTTTCCTGCTGTGTTTGCTTGGATGCTTTGTATAGTGGTTGAGGAGTTGGAGAAAAGGCTAAAAGAGTATAGCCATTATCTATTGCCACTGTCATTATATACTTCCCAGGACTCCAGAGAGCTTTGCTTCTTAGCCAGTTGACTGTGAATTAAACATTTTTAAACAAAAAATTTGTGGAAATCTTCTGTATATAGAGATTCTTATCCTTCTCCACCATTTACATCTTTCTGAAACAAAATGCATCGAAAGAGAACAGTACTGGTGATGGTTTTCTTTGAGGTAAGTAGCAGAACTGGGAGTGGAGGTAACAGCTGAGAGATTTAGCAAGCTAGCAGAATTATAGAGAGGTTGAATAGTTGAGTACTCAGGCTTACACTAGCTCACGATGGGCCTTTGTTCAGCTGTCATTCATGAATACCAGTGTGGCAGCAAGTGCCAGAGGTGGCCCCTTAAACATCTGTTGTCCTCTTTGAAGTCTTTGCTGATTCTCCCAAGTCAGTGTCCTTGCTCCTCAAGACTCCTGTGGCATTTTTTGTCCCCAGTTACCTCCCTCAGCTTTGTAGTGAATAGTTAATTGTGTAAATGTCTGCTTATTCTACTACATAAGTTTCTTGACAGCAGGAACCTGGTCTCACTAATTTCAGTGTTTTCATAATCCACACATTGTGTCCCACTTGTAACAATTGCTCAGTAAATCTGACTGAATTCAACTGAACAAAATTGACTGTGTCCGTGGAAATCTTGCAATTAGTGTTCACATTTCTAGATTGTATACTCTGCAGGGTATCCCTTAGAGAAACAGAACACCATCAGAGGTAACATATAAAAACACATTGGTGTATTATTGGGCTTTTTTAAAAACAGCTTTGTTGAAAGGGAATTCACATACCTTACAGTTCATCAATTTAAGATGTATAGTTCAGTGGTTTTCAGTATGTTCAAAGAGTTGTGTAACCATCACCACAATCAATTTTAGAAAATTTTTATCATCCCCAGAAGAAACCCTGTGCTTATTTCCTCCAGTCCTTCAGTCCTAGGCAACCACTAATCTATTTTTTTTTGTTGATAGTTTTGCCTATTCTGGACATAATATTTTGTGCCTGGCTTCTTTCACTTAGCATAATTTTTTATCATCCCCAGAAGAAACCCTGTGCTTATTTCCTCCAGTCCTTCAGTCCTAGGCAACCACTAATCTATTTTTTTTGGTTGATAGTTTTGCCTATTCTGGACATAATATTTTGTGCCTGGCTTCTTTCACTTAGCATAATATTTTCAAGGTGCATCCTATTGTAGCATGTGACAAGCCTAGAGCTTGGTGGAAACTGGAGAGCAGGTAATGCTTGCTTCCTGACTACTAGTTGTGGCTCAGGCCAGTGGTGAGTCTACCGCCCTCATGAAGGATGACCAGACCTATTTGGTAGAAATTTCATAGAGATGTTCTGAACTTGCTCACTGGAGTAATTATGAGTATTAAACCTGGGGGAGGGGGAGCAGGAATAAATAAATAAACAAACAAATAAAATAAAATAAAATGTAATGTCTGTGAGTACCTAACATATATGGCATATGAAGATCTCAAGTCCCTTTGTCCCACTTGAACTTCTTAGATTTTAGTAAGAATTTGCCAAAATGAAACAACAGGTAATTTTTTAACTGGTACTTTGTGTTTAGTTTACTGATTTCTCTCCCACCCTTTTGTTTTTGTTCTCCCCAAGGCTATGCCTTTCTGCTGTTCCAGGAGGAGAGCTCAGTACAAGCTTTGATAGATGCCTGCCTAGAAGAAGATGGGAAACTGTACCTGTGTGTGTCAAGCCCCACCATCAAGGATAAACCGGTAAGTAATATGCAGACAGCTGTTCCTTTTCCAGAACACATACGCAATTGGAATAGCTGATCTCCTCCTTATAATGGAAATGCTGGTAACTAGGATCCTCTTACCTGGGTTGGCCTTGCTGTGCTGTAGAAATGGACTGTTGTTGGTGATGGGAAGCTGATAACAAATTATTCAGTATTTCATTTTATACCTTTGGAATTGTGTGCAAACAAATGTGCCCTTCTCTTTCACTTTACAGCGTTTTTAAGCTAATTCCTGTTCAGAAACTCTGAATTGAGGTAAATAATGCTCTTAGTGGTTTTGGCAGCTGGTTTCCATCATTATTTCAGATCAAGGACAAAAGTAATTTATTTTTTTTTTAAATGATAATTGTTAATGTTTATATATCCTTCAGTGCAAGGCATTGTGCTAAGTGGTACCCACAGCTAGCTAAATAGCGCCTTCTGGGCCAGCAGCTTACACTTTACAATGGATAGTTTCAACAGGCCAGGAAAGGGGAAGGACAGAGAAAATGGAGCTGAAATCATAAATAGATGTACACTTATAGAGAATTTGTGGTTAAGAGTGTGGGGCTACTGATCCAGAATGTGAGTAATTCATTGGGTAAGGAAGGAAAACAGTTTCCTGTCTCCTGGCAGAGGAGGTATCAGTGGAGAAGGAGAAAGACCATGTTCAGAGCAGAAGAAAAGAACTGGTTAATGTTGTAGAAGTAGGATCTGTGGGAAGTTGGTGGGGTTGAGGGTAGGGTGAGTTTTATATGAAGGCTTAGTGATAGGACTGGGCAATAGAGTAAAAATAGTTATGTGGAGTATGCAAGAGACTGAAGCTATATACCATGGGGCCTGCAGCAACCCCTGTAACACTAGCACCAGAGGTATGGGGATTGCTTGTTAGCTAGGTTTATTCTCAGAAATGTGCATGGAGAAAGAGTTGGGGTTGGACATAGAAGTTCTCAGTTTGAGTCTTGACGCTAGAATTTAAATATCTCCTTGGCTTCAAATAAGTTACCTAATCCTTTCTGAATTATGGTTTCTTCACCTGGAAAATGGGAAGAATAATCAGTCTTCTCTGGGTTGTTGAGAGGCTCAGATATGAGGAAAATGAATGTGAAAGCATTTGGTAGAGGTCAGGTACTTGTGCAAATGTAACTGGCTGGTGTTATCAGTCCTACATAGTGCTATAGGATTCAGGAGAGCTCAGCTACATGGTAGTATCTGCTGAAAAGGATGGTGACATATAGAACAAGATTTACAATTGGTTGTGAAAGAATGATGTTGGGACTTGGCCGCCTATGAGGGGGAGACTGAAGCATGTACATGAGAAGAGGGAATGACTAAAGAATGGGAATAGTGAGTCAAGCAGAGTAATTAATTGATGCACAAGAAGCAGCAAGGATTTTAACCAGTGTGAAAGTTCCACTGTAATTTTCAAATTCAGTGACCATTGCCAAATTTTGGTAACAACAGTGACAATGTTGGATAGAGTAGCTAGACAGGTGGGGAAAAGCAGTAGGAAACAGGTGGGGAAAAGAATGGGGAACTTTTGTTAACTTTGATCTTTATTTTAATGGTGTGGAAAGGCTGTATATGATGTGGGAGACATGGGGACTGACTAGAATGGGAGTGTGCAGTCTTTCATCTAAGTAAATAATAAGCTGAAATAACTTCTCTAAGTCCCTTTGGAGTAGTGTGAGATTAGAAAGTCTGTACTGAATTTGGTACGTTCAGATGCCTGAGAGGTAAATGGTCACCTTCCAGAGAGCCTCTGCCACTGGCATATCAGCGGAAAGGGAGTAGGTGTGAGCTAGGAAGGGTTAAGGTAGAATTGGTCATGTGCTATAGGAGAGGATTAGAAATATATTTATGTATTTAAAAAGGCAGAGGGGTAGAGATATACACTGGGGTAGTTATATCCATAGTAGATTAAGCTGTTGAATTGAGGCAAGGAGACTGGAAATGAGCAGACAGGGCTTATATACCTTGGAAGCGTCATGTCACTGGCTCTGTAGGGGAAGAAGGATGATATGCCTTGTAGGGCAAGCCCTCATCTGGACATGATGTTTCTTGAGAAGGGAGGGAGCAGCGGTGATTGCAGATGGAGGTGGTATGGAGGTAGTGCCATTACTGTTGAGTGTTTTTACTTAAACACATGTATTACCCTTGGCATGAAGGACTTTCAAAAACAATTAGTGTAATTATCCATTTTGGAAATGTTTACGGGAGAACTAACTTTCATTGTTTGTGTTTCCGCAAATTTCTGCCTTATTGCAGTTTTCGTTTTCTGAGCTCAAGTGAAGCAATTTTATTGGAACATGGTGAATTCCGAATAGTGACTGCCAATCAAACCATTTCTTTGACCCAGGCATACTCAGAATTTCCAGTATAAACAGTTTGAATAAAACATAGGATGGGGAACATAAAAGTCCCCTAACACCTGTAATTTTAATGAACTGGATCCCATTTTGGTTTTCAGCTTTTTTGGCTTAATTTTTGAAATCTTCTCTTTCTTGGCTTTAGCTCCACATCCACCACTCGCAACCTCATTTGGTCATACTTCCCTACCCAGGTTCTGGTACATTTCACCTCCTTGTGCATGCGCCCTTAGAAAGAGAGAGCTGTGTAGAACCTTAGGGAATAAATGAGGTCCTTGGCAATAATAGGTCAAGGCAAAATCAACTTTTAGAGCTCATTCACCAAACTTTTTGAACAATGGTTCTTCCTTGCTCCGACCTTTTGGTTTAGCTAACCTTCATTCCCTAACTTTCAGGACCCCCAGTATCCTCATTCTGTTGTTTGGTTATCTCTGACCCTCCCTGGATTTCTCTTTGGAAATATACCGTGTTCCAAAATGACCTCATAGGTTTTCTACCCTTTGTTCTTCTCCCTTATTCCTTCCCCTGAAACTCCAATTTCCTTTGAGTGGATCAGGTTAATCAGATTGTTTTCCTAATGTAGAGCCTGATAGTGAGGTCCCCTCTCACCTATCTTGTCCAGGATCATGTTTGTTTTTTCATTCAAAGAATCCCAAATTAGTGGATTTCAGGTTGTATTAGGGAGATATTTTTGGTCATTGGTTACCTTTCTCCAATAACTCCACTCAGACTATTCTCTGTACATATCTGGTCCTGAAAGATGGCAGAAGAAACTGTATTTATTGGCATGATTAACTTCTCAGTTCCAAAGAATGGGAAGATAAATTGGAAAGATTAGGAGCTATTGCAAAGCTTCTAGATCTGTGATTTTTTCCTTCCTGCAGCATGAGGAGTTACGTAGCAAAGGTGTCCTAAGCATCTTAGAAGACAGCTATGCCTAAGTGCGGCTTCCAGTGAAACAGGCAGATATTGTGCACAGTGGTCCCTCTCATTAAGGTGGCTCTACTTTTTGAATGCCTGAATAGATTGAACCTGGAAGTTCAAGACAGCAAACTGATAGCGCAAGAGAACTACAGTGGTCCAGCAGAGATAGGGGCTGAAAAAGAGTAATCTTGAAAAGGAAGTGAGGAAAGAAATATTTATGGTTCTTACCTTCCAGAACACTTTGGCCAGAGATGTGGAATAGCAACCAACTTGAAAGGAGTGTCAGGAGTTTCCTGCTTCCTCCTGCTTAGAATTTATAGCATAATCACAATTTCTATATTCCTGAAATATGACAGATTGATCTTGCTGTATATTTAAAACAAATATCACCAAACTGAAGCATGCTTATATAGGGTCTGTTCTTTAGGTAAATGGTCAAGTAACATGGTCATCCACTTAAAACTTGAAAAACAAAAATTGAAAAGAATGGTGGAAACAAGAAACCTGGAAATAAAGGCTGGTTTACTTCTTCAGTTTTTAATTCTGTCTGATCTGTCATTCTGGTCTCTCCTCTCCTCCCCCCATTTATCTATCAATGGGATCTCTAGCACTTTTACTCACTTTTATTTAATTACAAAAGCAGTCCAGATCCCTTAGCCTGGGATTTAAGACCCTCCCAGTCTGGCTTCAAAATTTTTCCAACCTTATCTTTTTCTGCTTTCCTTCTGAACCCCATATTCTAAACAAACTGAAATATTTCTACCTTCATCTAACTTTCTAATTCCTACCCTTACTTCAAGACCCCTCTCAAATGCCATCTCTTTCGTGAATCTTCCCTGATCATTACACCATTTATAGGGAATCATACCTATTATTATAGCTATTTCCAGCCCCACATAGACTCTTTTAAAAATGATGTGCCTTCCTTCAAACCATGTTTGAGTGCCTACTGTGGTCAAGGCACAGTACTGGTTGTTATCAATCAGTGCTAGTTAATGGATAGGTAAAATGAGTAAATTCACAGAGTGTCTATAGAGCCTGGCACATAAAAGGTTCTCAAATATTTTTCAAATGAAGAAAAATAACAAAACAATGAAAATAAAATACAGATTATATATTTTGGAGAGTTTTTATATACTTAGAGTGATGAAAGAAAACTTCCTGGATGAAATGTCATTTGAACTAGACCTTGAAGGATAAAGAGAATTTGGAGTTGGCCAGGAAAAAGGTGGAGGTAAGGGGAGTAGACATTTCAGGGAAAGGCAAAAACATGAACACAGAAATGGAAAATTGTGTGACATGAATGGAGAACAATTAGGCTGGTTAGATGGAGCACAAATATATGAAAGGGCATAGAGAGAAATTAAATTGGGAAAAACAGGTGGAGGCTAAGTTATAGGGCCCCTTGATTGACTGCCTCAGTCCTTCTTTTGTTGTGTATTTACTAAGACTGTTTCATTCTCTATCTACTACCTCCTAAGACATAACTATAGTTTAATCTTGGCCCAATCATATCGAGTTTTGTGTGTTCATCTTAAAATTCATGACTAAGCCATATCATCATGTGTCATATCCCACCTCAGAAATCTTCAGCATTTGTCATCTCGATTTATTTATTTGTTCTTTGAATTCTTGGTCTAAATTTGTGGTTTGGGTACCTTCCATTATTGGAATTTCTCCAGAGAAGGAATTTCTCCTCTACAAT